TTTAGGAAAACGGAGGACGACAAATAAATCCATATAAACTAACAATTTCATTTATCTATTTTACTATAAGATCCATCTTTTGTTGTTGAAAATTCTTTTAATGGGGCTTTGCTCTTTTTCTTTCAGAAATTTTCGTAAGATAAACTAATGTAGCAAAACGCTTGATCTTTTTTTTTTATTATCATTAACTGGCAATTTAGAAAAATATAAAAGTGAATCAAATTTGGCGGAAGCTGTGATATCCTTATTTACAAAATTACGCCCATTTCTATCGTTATTTATAACTTATAATGGTGTTTAAAATTGGTAGCCTTGAATTTTCCTGCATTTTATGTCACTAAAGTCTTACTTAACTAACTTTATGTCTTTAAAGTAGACGTATACTTTAAATGTTTAAAACTTCTATATTAGTTGTTCAGAAAATTGGTACCTTTGAACCAGGCAGTTCTAGTTAAAGGCGCCGTTTCTACGACTGTTTTTTTATAAAACACAGTTTTAAAACATTTATTAGTAGCTGAACTATTTAGAATTTGGTGAATAACGATAACTTCATAATGAACGACAAATAAAAAGTGACAAAAAACAGACTAGCCCACATTTTTAAACCTGAAAGACTGAATTTAATTGAGGATTGTGCTCGTTTCCTTATATTTTGTATTAGATATAGCAAATTAATAATTGTAGAATTTTATTTTAAACTTCCATTTTTTTTTTGAGCATANGCCTCCCAGTTCCACGCCTAACACCCAATTACCGCCTGAGCCTCCGAAAGTCCCCACGCCGGAACCGCCCAAGGAGGTACCCAAGTTCGTTCCTGGCATGCTAGCGCTCTGCGCCGGCTGCGGATATCTCTCGGAAGACTTCGCCAAGTGTATAAGGTGCGGCAGGAAGCTGCCGGACAACGTGAAAGCAATTCCGGCTACGATACGTTCCAGTAACGGGCAGAAGAAGGACCTCCAAGGCGTGCACCAGCAACCGAAGATAGCGAGTGAGTCTGATTTTGTCATAGTTGACGGTCCGATCGTTATTATTATTTTTTTTTTTTAGTTAACCTGAAGCCCCAGAGTCCGTCGAAGAAAAAGGCTACCAAAGCTTCTAAGGTCGTGGAGCATGAGAGCGTAGTGATTAGTTCTGATGAGGAGGAGGAAGATAAGCCTACGAAAGTGGTAAGTGAACGGAAACGACGTCGATACGATTAAATGACTTGGCTTTTACAGGACGATAATATTCTGCAGAAGCTCGGCTCCTCGATAACTATTAGCCCCGTGACCAAAGAACCCTCGACTAACGATATCCAGAAGCACAGCATCGTTAAACCAAAAGGTAAGATGAGTTTCAGATCGGCGGTTTGTAAGGCGTGAGAGGTTGCGGAATGGGATGTGGGGGGCACTGAATGTATTATAAAATATATTGACGTATATTTATTTGAAGTGTTTCAAAAAAAATTGTAAGAAATCAGTATGCTTGTTTTTCGGAAAGTAATTCCTATCGATGGGACTAAGTAAATCGAATTTGCATTAACTAAATTTTCGGTAAAATTGGTTGTAAGTGGCGCCCTCTATGAGCAACGCTGAAATTGTAACACGCATCTTATTCGTCGCTTCAAAAAATATAGGCTCACAAATTTTCAAGTTCCTAACCTACATATTTTCAGAATAATCGCAAAAAAACGATTTAAAATTTTAACATTCAACACCCTGTATTTCCGAAACTATGAACTTTCGCATAAGGCATGTTTGCACCAATGGTCATCATTTCACATGTAGTATCTTCAGCTTTCGATTTTCCCATTGTTAATTAATCACCCTGTACATGAATTGTAGACAATCTACAGTGCATGTAAAGGGAGATAGTGCGGGTCAGTGGTGATGAAGCGAAGGGGGGTTTTGTGTTGTTCCACATTTGGAGACAGTACATCCGTGAATTAGAATGTTTTTCATCGCTGGAAACCATCAACAGGGTGCTTTTTCTATCCTGTAGACAGGTCTGTTGTCTAATTAAGGACCATTATTCAGAGGGAAGCCACGACGAAGGTGGTATATTAAAGTGTCTGTAAGAACTGAGAGACTCGCAAGGACTGTTTATTTTTGTGTATTTCATTTATCAGTATTGCTTATTGTTAAATTTTTTTGCTAGGTTACATGTTAAATACTGTTTGTGTGGCGAACGCCCACTTAACAAAAGTAACTCGGAGCGAGTGGTGTGGAACTGTGCATGTGCTACGATTAAAGTGTGTCGTTATTTGAGGTTACACTAGCTTGTCCAGCGTCCAACAAATTAA